ACTATTATTATTATTATTACTATTATTTTCACTTTTTTGCAGTTTAGTTATTAAATTGTTCTTATCTCAACCCATGAGTCTCTTTTCTCTTTACCCCTTTAACGCCTGGGAAGGGGGAGGCTGAGTGAGCAGTTGTTGTGGTGTTTGGCTGCCAGTCAGGATCAAAACTAGGACAATTTCAAAAAGCTGAATTCACTCCATCTTATTCAATACCTACTCCAATAAACATCTAGTTTGAACTAGTTGAATCAGATCCTTAACTTGTGCCAACAGCCAGGGCTTGTTCCAGTCTGTGTGAATGAATTGACTTACACCAGCTGAAGATGACTTAATGCTGCAAGTGTGGAACACTTATTTTCTTTTTCTGTTTACCTGTAATGTAAAAATATCCTCTGTAACTTGTGGTCTTTGTTGTGAAGCTCTTATTATAAACCACAATGCTTTCCCCATATTCCAGCTCAAACATAATTCCCCAAGAAAGGGAATTTGCCTGTAAATTTCTGAGCAGTGTCATCTCCCTGTATTTGGTATGTCAAAAACATCCTTGTGCTTGATTTACAAACACATTTTTTTTTTCCATTTGTAATTGTGTTTTTTTGCTTCTCCAGGAGATATTTTTTAAGAGTATTTTATAGATAGGAGTTGCCCACACACTAGGGCAAAGTTTAAAAAGATTTTTGAAAACTCCTTTATGCCAAATCATATTGTTCACAAGCTATGGTAGAGTCCTGTCTAGGCTAAGAGGCAGAGCAAGGGTGAATCACTTCTTCCCTTGCCTTGGGAAATTTATATATTGCTAAATGCCTACATTTATATGAATTTTTACATGTTATGAAATGATTTATACTTGGCAAACTACACAAGTTACAGCAAACTTCCCAGTCAGAATAGGTGCCGGGTGCATAGGGGATGCTATGTATCCTGGGATGGTATTTTTCTCCCGTCCCTGTATAATGGACAGTAGGGTTTCTGCTGGTCAGTGAGATCTTTGATTGGAAATACAAATAATTAAAATAAAAATCTGCCTTGCAAGATGTGGGAAGAAGGCACTGCCTTTTATTTGTTCTAGTGCAGAGCAACAAGGAGACACTTGATAGTCACTTTGATAAGAAAAACTGGTAGAGATTTCCGTGGATATGTGCAGTTATGAAAAGATATCTCACAGAGTTGAAGCTGTTTTTATTTCCATGATGAAATAAAGGCACTACAGAAAGTCCATTATAGTTCATTAAAATCATCTTCCCATTAACACTACGGGGTTTCAGATTGTAAACCCTTGATTGTATTTTCTGCAAACTGTAATGAATTACTTTGTACCTTTCGGAACAGTTTCCATAACAGCTACATTTTTCTATGCCTTTATGAATTGTCAGTGACAAAGATCTGAGAGTAATCTGTCACATCTATTTCAGACGTATCTTTGAATGATATCTGTGGCTTTCAGGAGATATGTCTCTCTTTCCTTTGACATTATAAAGAACCTAGACTGCTTTAGATTTAGCATATAAAATTTTGGATAGCTCAAGTTATGAAAGATTAATCCCCCCCTTGCTCTAGAAACAGAATTGATGCAGTTTGGGAATCTATCTGATTGCTCCTTGAAAATATGTGCCAAATGTCTTTCACGTGAACAATGTAAAGCCCATTGCAATCCCAAAGATTAATTGCTACCAAAAATAAACCATCTGGGAAATGCACCAGTGGATTCTAATGTCCATGTCTTCTTAATGTGATTCTAAAAGCCCAAGACATATTACTTGCCACAGAGACTGTTTTTAGATTCAGTCTTGAATACTGGCCATTGACAGTTGAGGATTACAAAACCCATGCATATGGCACCATCACATCCATAAGGAGAGACAGACCTTCAGGTGATGTAAAGAAATAGAATGCTATGGAAACAAAGAGAAAAATTAAGTGCACTCCATCTTGTGAATTTGCCTCTTCATTGGTTCCTAACTAGCCTCATTTTGTCGAGACACCTTGTATCTCAATTCTGTGAGCTCTAACAGGTTAGAGGTCTAAATGGTTATCATCCATAAATAAGAAATTTCTCTTGACTCACTATTATTATAGCAGATGGCTATCTAGAGACACACACAAATTCAAAAACAGATTTTAGCCTAACAGAAAAAACTGTTAAATGCCATAGACACTTCTCATAAAACTCGTAGAATATATTTCTCGGCAATCACTCTGCATTTCTTCTTGCAAAATAAAATTTGTGAGACAATTAAACTTAGGGAGAAAAAATAGCATTTACAGGAGCTCTCTATGCCTTAAAAAAGTCTAATGTGTGTTCCTCTGGTATTAGTGTTCAGGGTCTCTTTCATTCTCACTCTGAACACAATGATGTCATTTATCTTAACAAAAAAACTCATTATTTTTGCAGGCTTGACTCTGTGGCACTGAGAGCAGTGGTGGATTTGCAGTTAACTGAACTAGTTAGCAGCTCTCTACTCCCACTTGCAGAGGGCAGGTCAGGCAGGTGGCACAATTAGCAGAGGAAAACGAAAGTACTTATGTATTTTCTTCTGTTCTTCTACTCGAAATGTAATGGATTCTCTACTGTCTTCCTCTTTTGGAAATACATACCTGTGGCAAAAATGGACTTGTGAAATGGACTTGTGCTGGGGGATGAAGAGATTGAGAGCATCCCTGTAGAGAGAGATCTGAGTGAACTGGTGGACGAGAAGTTGGACACGAGCCAGCAATGTGCGCTTGCAGCCCAGAAAGCCAACCATGTCCTGGGCTGCATCAAGGGAAGCGTGACCAGCAGGGAGAGGGAGGTGATTCTCCCCCTCTGCTCTGCTCTTGTGAGACCCCACCTGGAGTGCTGCATCCAGCTCTGGGGCCCTCAGCACAGGGAGGACATGGACCTGTTGGAGCAGGTCCAGAGGAGGGACACAAAAATGATCAAAGGCCTGGAAGACCTCTCCTGTGAGGAGAGGCTGAGAGAGCTGGAAGTATTCAGCTTGGAGAAGAGAAGACTCCAAGGAGACCTGATTGCGGCCTTTCAGTTCCTAAAGGGGGCTTATAAGAAAGACAGGGATTAACTTTCTAACAGGGCCTGTAGCAATAGGATAAGGGGTAATGGTTTTAAACTAAAAGAGGAGAGGTTTAGACTAGATATAAGGAATAAATATTTTATGCTTAGGGTGGTGAGACACTGGAACAGGTTGCCCAGGGAGGTGGTAGATGCCCCTTCCCTGGAAACATTCGAAGTCAGGTCAGACAGGGCTCTGGGTAACTTGATCTAGTGGAAGATGTCCCTGTTTCCTGCAGGGGGGTTGGACGAGGTGACCTCCGTGGTCCCTTCCAACTCAAACTATTCTATGATTCTATGATTCTAAGTTTCTTCAAGAGCATGAATAGTCTTGCTTCTGTCTTTAAAATATGTGTGCACTTCAGTTATATGCAGTCCTTAGAATGATACCCAGCAGGGTATCAGTTTTTATGATACTTATGATGCTTACAGTTTACTTTAGATATCTCAAGGTTTACGTTTATTGAAGATCCAATATTTATTCTTGCATTTTACATATCTCTGTGATAATACATATAAAAAACCCCTTTTTTTATTAAAAAAAAAAAAGGCCTACCAAAGCTGTCTTGATAGAGTTTATTAGGACAAACAATTGTGTGGTAGAAGTTAACTTAAAGTTGTGAATTTGATTCACCTGCAAGATTAATGTGGTTGTCTGCTGTCAGATGCCTGAGCACCAACAATAAAATTATGGAAGACATTCTGTAGCTAGGAAAATCAATCTTATTTATGAATTAGACAGTGGACAGGAGTGGCTTTGCAATCCAGACAGCTGTTTGCCCAGACTGGCATATTTTTCTTTAGTTTGGCTTCCTTTTTGGTATAAAAAGAGTTTTCATGGCACTTCAGTGAAGAGGAAGAGAAATGCGGGAGTTGATACATTTTAGTTATGAAGTTTCAGGCAGAACTGCGTTTCAGACAGAATTAAGTTGCTATTCAAATGCATGTTTGGAGAGCAGTTGAGGTATGATGGAAGATTTAGGGAGACGTTTAACAAGGGGGTTCAGTCAGGTGGTATTTTTATGCATATACTATTTTGTTGGCTATTTCTCTTAAGCATGCAATCTTTTAACACATTGTTTTCTCTTTTTCTCTGCAAGCTGAGTATTGCTGTGTGCGTTGGATTTTTTGCTGCCTGGAGCCCTTATGCCATCATTGCCATGTGGGTAGCTTTTGGATCAATAGATAAGATTCCTCCATTAGCCTTTGCTGTGCCAGCTGTCTTTGCAAAGTCATCCACACTCTACAATCCAGTTATCTGTCTCCTCCTGAAGCCCAATTTCCGAAACACCATTGCCAAAGATTTCACAGTTCTTCAGCAGTTATGCATCAGGAGCTGTTTTTGTGTCAAGGCACCACAGAACTACAGATCAACTTTGAACACCAGCCTGAGAACATTTCAGGGCAAAAGTGAACCCAGCTCTAATTCTCAGCCAGTTGTGGAAGAATGCTCTTATTTGCGCCGTGAAAAGCGCAGTGATACTTCTAAATGCTTTCAAAGCTATCCAAAATGCTGCCAGGACAGGCAAAGTGCTATTGAATGTCCTCAAGAAACTGTGTCCTTGGAGAGCAAACTCCAAGCAAAAGCAAGACAGGGCAGCAGGAGGTCAGTAAATGCGACTGTGCAGGGAGAAAAAAGCACTGAAATTGATACCTTGGAAATCACCTTAGAAGCAGTACCTGTGCATCGTACGCTTACAGGCCTCTAGAGCTGGTTGCATGAAGTCCTCTGACAGTAATGTTGTTATACTGGATTTATTGATGTAACTTTTTCTAAAGAGTCCTTCTACTACGCCATTTTTCTAGACTATTTTCCTGTTTTTTCTTGTACTGTTTGATGAGACACGTGGTAGAGCATGGACATGCTATAAATGCTGTATGACTCTTGCCATGCCAGCTTAAGTACATTGTGCTAACTGTCTTCACATCATGAACTGTCAGACAAATCCTCTCTGCATTTCATAAACTCTTTTTACTCCGTTATCAAGAGAATACACTAACCACTGAGAGATTTTCCATAAAGTGTTGTTATCCTTTCTACGCTACGTACATTTCATAACCCATCTGTTCAAAACAAAAAATGTAGAGTTTCAAAAGGACAAGCTCATGCTGTTTTAATCATTATAGCAACTGAAAAGGTAAATGCTAACTGAAATGCCTGTTTTCCAAGAAGCGATGCTGAGTGACAGCATATGTTGCATTTGCTGGGATGTGTAGATCATTTTTTTCCTTGCTTTGAGATGAACAAGCAGGTTCTGACCTCATTCCACATGAATAAAACCAGAAGATTCTGGTAACTCAAGATAGTATGTAACTTTTGTTTACATTTTGGTGTAATATGAGAACTTGCCCTAGGACATTATTAGTTATTACTCCCAGTTTCTTCTATAGGACCTTGCAATTAGGAGGGTAAACACCTGGTCCAGAAATTCCAGAGCAAGAATCTCTGCTGATGCAAACCACTGAAGCCTGTGAAAACTGCCCCATGCAAAGATGCCAGTCCTCCAGGAATTTTTGAATTTGGCCTACAAGGACAATGCCACAGAGTAAGAATAGGCACAACTCTTCTTTCCTGTGTTCCTGGGCTCTTTTTTTCTCCCCTGGAAGAGGAAGGAAAAAAAAATGAAAGTGTGTTGGAGAAAGGACTTTTGAAATGGTTGCTTTTACTGTCTAGGGATGATTTGGTTAAACTGTTGCTCTGTTTCACCGCTTGCCAGCAAGAAGCATCATACCCTCTACTGCTGCCATGAGAGCAAGAGCACACTGGGAGGGCCAAGCTTTCATTTTGGCCAGGCTACAGCCAAAAGTACTGTAGCTTTGTTATTAGAAGTTATTACAGCTTTGTTTTTCAGCTGGGATTACTTTGGGCAGTAAGACAGTCCTCCTCCCATGGACCTTGCCACTTGCAGGACCAGTTTGCACTCCCTGGGAGACACTACCAATGCCTCAGGGGAATGCCTGTATCTTTATAATGATAATGATTTGGCAGTATTATATTTCACTGTTGTTTCTGCGGTGACATGAAGAAAATGTACCTGGCTGCAAACGGGACAGCCATGTTAAACTCTATGAAAGTCTCCAGTCAACCACTTTAAGGGATTTCAGTTGCTATAGAGTACATTTGGCATATTCACTTGGGACATACAATTTTCTGTCCTGTTTTTAAGCTGCTGTCACTTTCCCCTGCTCCAAGCTTCCTTTTATCCTGCATGTTTTTGTATATATATACACTACTTTGAACAATAATTATGATACATTTTATTGGATTTCCACAGATGCATATATGTTTAAAATACATGACCTGATGAAGAGTACAAAACGTCTACAGGGCATTAAAGAAAAGACACCCCCACAAGACGAAAAATACCATCATCCTTCATGAACTCTGAAAAATCAACTGGAAAACCCAGCTGGACTGGAGTGCTCACAAAGTCCTTTCAGTGTATTTCTTCTCCAAGACTTCCCAAGACACATGGGTCAGCAGTGCAGCACAAACAGGAACTTAGTTCTGTGGGGCTGCAGTTACTGTGACTACTGTCTTTGACTTCAGATGAGGTGGGATCAGGCTTTGAGGACCTTTAGGCAATGCTGACCTTTTCAGATGGTGAAATCAGAGAAAAATAGGAGTGGAAGCCACATTCAGAGGTCATCTGGTCCTTCCTGTTCCAAGTCCTATTGACGTCAGTGCACAGAGTTGAGTATGTGAAAAAAATGTCTGGAGGACTCACTGACAAAGGCATGTGTTTGGGGGTTTTAACTGGCATATCATTGCAAAGCCTAAAAACATCATGCTATCAAAAGACAGAAAAATATTATCTGCATCATGCAGATGGGCTGCGTGCCCAAGCTTCCATACAGATGTTTGAAATTGCATCTGTAACATGCAGCTCTTTATAATGATCAGAAAAATGTTGGGTGTTTCTGTGCACTGACTGCTCTTTGAGCTGCACTCCTTGTCAGATATATGGTGATATAATATTGCAAGCTATTAGTCTTAACCACAAACATGATTTTTCTAAGAGATCTACATAGGCATGTTAGGAAAGTAAGAAAGTTTAGAGTGTCCATGCCTGGATTAATAGTCACTTCTAATTTAGCATTCCTTATAGCGGAAGCCAAGGCTGACTTGCACAAGATGCTACTTTTTTTTTAGTGGAAAATGGGTGAACATATATTTACATAATGTTCTCTTGGTAAGAAAAACCCACTGTATCTATTTAGATTCCTTCAAATTGGCATTGGCCTGTCTGAACCTGACTGTCAGCTCTGAGTATAGATTAAAACATTTACATAGAAGGTCACATTCAACTTTGAGTAGAAAATGCAATGTTTTAAAAATTACTGTAGAATCCATGCCAGCTCCTTTTATAAGTTAATGGAAGGAACATTGTGCCTTTGCAGAGAATTCCCCATATATTAGACATCAAGGGTGACAGTTCGAACTCTCAGACTAAGTTCCCACTATGTGAGGGTAAATTTTCCCTGTTGTGTGAGTAGCTTTTTCTGTAGCAACCACAATCTTCAATTAACTTTTCAAACCTTCCAGTTTTTGATTTTCCCATCTGTTGTTCATCAGGGTTAGTCATAAATTACTGCTAGTAAGTGTATGCATGAATCAAATGCCATCTTTTTATGCATTAAGGTCCAATGAAAGAGTCAAAGGATTATTGGAATTAAAAATATACATTTAAACAAAGTATTTGTTTTTAAAATAAAACAATAAAACTTATTCTCACCTAACAAATTAACTTATCATTTTTGTTGCTAACAATGTATATAAGTACACTGAATACAACATTTATGGTGCGAGCAGCAGAAACGGTAAGGCAAACCATTGAGGTTGTTAGTGCAGCATAGCATAGAAGATGTAGTGGGCCCTGTCTGCTAGGCATTTTTGAAGGGGACCTGTTTTTCTAAAATTCAGTTGCTCAGAAAGGTCACTGATCTAAGCCTGCTCTGACCAGAGGGGACTGAAAGTCATTCCCATCTGATGGGAGGGTTGATGGTGCAGATAGGCACCGCTGACGTGCTAACAGATTACTTCATTGTGTACATGTAGCTTAGCGAAGACCTAGTACTGAAAATACTGAAAGTGCAAAAAAAATCACCCTTTGGTTGCACTGAAGAGATGAAGAGGCTCAGCTGGCCGAGCCGAGGAGAGCAGCACAGAGCTGGTGGCTCTGGCTGGGGGCAGTTAATCCATGGACCAAACAGCAGGATCTGGAAGTGTGTGTGCCTGCGCTCCATGATCATGGCACCCTCGCTCCTCTGTGCTTACCTCTTGTATTCACTTATGGCTTTGTCCTACAGAGGATGGTAAGTTTCGGAGTGGGAAATTCTTTCCCCTGTGTATGCAAAGGATTTCAGACCAGTGAGAGACACCAAGTCTTTCTCACTGCCTTAGGAGGGCTGAGGAGCTCTCCTGGAGGCAGTGTGGAGAGGCTTGTGCTGCCCTTGGCTTTGCTCTGTATCCACTGTGGATGGGCAATGTGTGCTGGGCAGTGATGTCCTTGCACTGGAAGGAGTGTCTGTCAGAGGTCATAGAAAGCAAGTGAACTAGCTGGGTACATCCCATCTCAGCCAGAAGAGTTGGAAATTGCATAACTTCTCTGCCACCTTCTTGCTTCTCCTGTGTCCCTTTTCCTCCCTTACACTGTGTCCTTTTCTGCTGTGCTCTCTCATTCCTCTCTGCTGTGCTTTCTATTTCTTTTCCTGATCTCTCTCCCCTCCTCACTCCCTGGCACTCAGAGCATGCCCAGGGAGCTCTGCAGAAGGCACCTGGCACTCTCATTACACCCAACAGAGCAGTAAAAAGCTGCCAACTGCCCAGTTCCTGTGTGCAATGACAAACCTTTGTGATTGAAGGCTTTTGCTTTTCCAATCACTACCAGAATTCAGCTGGTCCATGGAGGCCAGAAGCATATGCTAGATGTTTCGTGGGGTTTTTTTTGGTTTTTTTTTTGTTTTGTTTTTTTTGTTGACTCTCTCGCTTTATATTAGCAGGGTGCCAAGAAAGCTTTTCTCTAGCACACCTATTCTTCCAATGGGGTTGGAAGGGAGACTGAGCAGTCCCCATTACTTTTTCCCCTTTAGAGAAAATACTATCTGTAGAGAGAAGTGTCAAGGCATCTACAAAACATGCTTTTCATGCTGTGGTCCCTCTGTAAGAGCAATATGCTTTTTCCTAGAGATGAGCTTTTAACAAAGAGCTCAGTGATGTTCCTCTGGGCACATCATGGGTAAATGACATCTGGAAAAAAAGTCAAGAGAGGCTCTTTGAACAGGAAAGCTATGATTGGCATGCTACAAGTTTAGTGCCCCTTGGAAGCCTAGAAACAGACTCTTTGCATATAATCTTTGTATAAGCAAATGGGAGCTGTACTTTAGTCAAGTTCTGTGTGCTCAGGCAGTGCAACAATGAGACAGAAGGGCACTTCATTCACCAAAAAAAAAAAAGACCATAATGTGTGGGATATGTTTTTCAGTGAATTGCAAAGTGCAACTGTGAGATAGGTGAGAGCGTTGAATGGTTTTGGGTGGTGGTTGTGGAAACAGTGCTGGAAATGGCAAAACTGTTCAATACAGCAATTTTAAAGTGAAAAGCTTTGATTTTCTCAGTCTGGAATCATAAGGGCGCTTTGGTATGATTCGGGTGTCAAACCAGATGAACCCTTTGTCCTTGGGTGATGCCTGACGGCCAAGGGTGTCT